GCACGGCCCCTCCCCCTCCCTGCGGCGCCCCCCGAGCCCGGCTCCCCGCTCCCGGCGCCCACCTGCTCCCATCCCCCAGACTGATTGGACACTGCCTGACAACCGGCCCCTCACAACAAACCTCGGGCCCAACCCGGGCCCTCCCCGAGCTCCGCCAATCACACGCACCGCCTGCATCCGGGCCCGCCCCCACGGGAAGCAGTCTCACCAATCAGAGCGGACCGCCATCCCCGCCACTCCTCAACCAGTGAGGAGCCGCGGTGCAGACGTCTCTTTCAGTCACGTCGACCAATCAGAGGGCACAATGGTTAAAACCCGCCCCCGCACGGAGCGACGAGGCCAATAAAGGTTTGAATTGGGCCTCTTAGTTACTGCGGCGTCTGTGACCACTGAGAGCAGCGCTTATTAACGGAGTCTCTCCCTCTCCCCCCCCCCCCCCCCCAACACCCACCTCTCCGCCAACCCCGCCCAAACACACACTTCGCAGCCAATGAGGAAGGAGAGAGAGAGAGACCGGGAAGTTGTGTGGCCATCTCGCCGCCATGTTAGATTAGGGCAGAATGACCCAGGCTACTTGGAGGGAGGGTGCTGCCTCTAGGCGGCCCCGTCCCGCAGCGCCACCAGCGATGGGTCCCGGGCCGGGCCGCGGGGGCACGCCTGCTTCTAGTGCACCATGTGTCCCTCGTTTCCTTTTGAGACTTTCTTGTGGGGCCGCGTCCGAAGGCTTCTCACTGAAACTCGGATGTGCCACATGTGCCGCCCGCCCTCTAGCCGCTCTCAGCTGCCTTGGTCCTTGTTCTTGGCGAGTCCATTTTAGCTGTTTCTTACCTATGAGTTATCCTCTAGATGCGTACAAAAGGACTGTTTCTCATTTAATTCCTGTCTCTCTAGGTATCAAATTTGGTTGACAAGTTTATCATCCTCCAAATAATCCTCCTTCCCCCTTTTTTTAAAATGATAGGCATTATATTTGCCGTTCTCTATTCCTCTGAGACCTCCCCAAAGTGCCTTGAGTTCAAGAAGATAATCAGAGGTTGCTTTGACTATTTCCTAGGATTCTTTTGTGTAAATTTTAGGTTCTTTCATGAAAATGTTGTGAGGCCCTGCTGACTTGAATACACATCACATATCTAAGTCCTTTTAAATGTGTTCTTTCCTTATTTGGCCTGTAGTGTTAAAAGAAAAAAAAAAAGTACTGTGATCAAAGGAGTATGTTTCGATGTCAAAATGGGGGTAGCAGTGAAAGGGACAGGGTGTTGTCAGTGTTGTTGCCAGCCAAAGTTGTGTCATAAGACAGACAGAACATGCAGGAGTGACTGTTGCTTGCATCAGAAGAGATGCAGTGATTCAACAGTCAATGTGTAGAAGCTGAAGCTAGAGAAATTCAAATTGGAAATGAGAGTGTGATTAAGCACTGGAACAAGCTACTAAGTGGTAGATTCTCCAACTCCTAGTATCTTCAAACAACTGCATATCTCAGGGGTTGTCAGGCGGGGGTACTTAGATTTATAGATCCATAGATGTTAGGGTTGGAAGGGACCTCGGTAGGTCATCGGGCACTTTCCTGCCCTGGGCAGGAAAGTGTGCTGGGGTCAGATGACCTCAGCTAAGTGCTTGTCCAGTCTCCTCTTGAAGACCCCCAGGGCAGGAGACAGCACCACCTCCCTTGGAAGCCCATTCCAGATTCTGGCAACCCTTACTGTGAAGAAGTTCTTTCTAACGTCCACTCTAAATCTGCTCTCTGTCAACTTGTGGCCGTTATTCCGGGGGATGCAGAAGGCCCTAGTGGGTGTACACAGGCGGGTGGGTGGGGATGAAGCGCTGCCATGCACCATCCTGTGCTGCTGCGCAGGCATCACCCCCTGTTCCACATCTGGCCACCAGGGGTATACTGATCCAAAAAGGTTGAAAACCCCTAGTATATATGTTTCAGTCAAATAAAAGTGATTGGGCTCAATAATATTCCTTATTACCTTTTTGAAATTACTTGGAAGCTGTAATGATAATTGCTGAATTGCTGTATTTGTGGAAAATAAGCAAATATATAGTTAAAATTGCTGTTTTGTTATAAATAATGCTAGCACATGAGTTTTTGCATATTTAGAAAATATTTTGGAGTTCAAGGGAATCAACTTTACAAATAGCTAATATCAAGGGATAGTATTATCGTAGAACAAGTTTCAAGATGTGGACAAAAAAAATCAACAGGCCCTGATGTGTAACCTTGATCCATAGCTTACAAAATAAGAGGCTAAAACTTAGGGCTCATTTTGACTGTAGAATTTGACCATGATGTAACTGAATCAGAAGGCAAATGTTTTCCCCTTTGACTGATTTGTTTGTTGGCCTTAAAACAACAGGGTAGCAAGAATGCAGATGACCAAGTATGAAATAATTAACAAAAGATATACCTCTCTATACAAAAGCATTTAATGGAAAAAATGCAACCTGTGTGCAAAGATCTATTTAAAGTAAGTATGAAGGTACTTATGTTTTTGTAATATCCTCCATGGTAGAAGTCCCAGCAGCTTCTGGAGACGCTGTAGAAAGGCCTTTGGGGAAATACAAATCAGTTAACAAATGGTTCGTTGAATGCAGATAAGAAAAGGATTCCACATTTCCCTCTGGCAGCGCTCTGATACTCAGTGACTGATATGAGCAAACAAGGAATCAATTAGGCATAAAGTTTGAGATATTCAGACAGGCGAGGATCCTTGCATAATTTTTCTTCTAGTGCAATATATTTTTGTGGTGCTGTCTCCTTGTGCCTAAAATGAGGAGGAGGAAATCATAGAGAGAAATGGGTTTGTTTTATCCAATAATAAAAGATGAAATTTACTATTTTCAATTGATGCAATTACCAGGCAATTTAAGTGGAAAGCCACAGTGACTATCCACTTGTAGACTCTTAATCGTGCTAATCAACCCTTGTTAAAGTACACTGTTAATTATCAGAACCTTGGTTATCCAGAGACCAACTTTTTTTTTACTGATTTAAACTCTTGACATTGTGTAAAAAGCTGTTTTCATTTTAAGCTGTATTTAATTCAGTACTACATCTCTACTCTTAATTTTGATACAGTATTGTAACCTATAAATGTTGTGCATAAGTTGAGAGAGTTAGTAGCTATGGATGTGTGTAGATGAAACAGGGCCCTAAATTGAAGTGATGGGTTTTTAAAAACACTGATTCAATTTAGGGCCCTTTAAACCCCTGTGTTCTGTACACCTGTGTAACTTATCTGCCTCTCCTGAGGTGGGGAGGGGAGGGTGAGCTGTTGGCAGGCGGAATGGTCCCTGGGCTGCAGGGGGTGGGAGGAGGGAAGAGGGGCTGGTGCTTCTCTCCACGGCAGCCCCCCCCCAGGTGGCACCCAGCTCAGGCGGTCCCAGGGAGCAGCACAGCCGCAGAGGGAAGCACCGTGCCCCCGCGCAGCTCAGGCAGGCAGGATCCGGGTTGGGGTGGGGAGGAGGAAATCAGGCTTGCTGAGTGGAGCCTGCCTGCCTTCCCAGGCTACTGCCAGGCTGCCTGCATGGGCTTGATGCAGAGTCCCTGAGCTTCACGGAGCCTGGTGCTTCACTCTGTGGCTGTAGGGCAGCGAACTAAAAGTCCTCAGAGGAGTTTTAGTTTGCTGCACCCCAAGTCATTTAAGTCGCATTACGCTGCCGAATTTGCTACAGCGGTTGGAATTACTGTGCAATACACCGCTGATGCATGCAAACACCAACACTGTTAAAGCAGTGCAAAAGCATTTAACCCTCATTAAAGTGCCCCTTGTTTTGTCTACGCACAGCCCAAGTTACTATAACACCTCACAAAGTAGGCTTTCATCTACAAAAGCTTGTGCCTTTCCAAGATTAGTCTCTAAGGTGCCACCCTGTCTTGCCTTGTCTGTAAATGTTGGCCTTGTATACTGTTCTCTTTTAAGCTTTGATACAGTACCGTATCTCTATGATTAAGTTCAGTACAGTAATTTGTAACTGTTCCAAATGAATTCAGCTGTCCAAATGGCTTTATAGCAGCTGCTTTCCAGAGGGGTTCAAATAACAGGGTGTACTGTATTATTTACCTACTGAGCCTCATCTCTAGAATGCGAATGCGGAACATGGCATCAGAGCAATAAGCTATGTAAGCCTCCTCATCCTCCACAGTCATGGAGAGCTGGTTTTGCTGGTACCATTGTTGCTTCTTTTGCAACTCCTGTGTCTCCTGATGGGGAACAAAAGCAAGCAAATCAGTCATAGGATGACAAGGAAGAGCATGAGAGACAGATGCAAAAGACAGCATCTCAGAGTTAAGGGAACAGAGGTGCGGGAAGGAGAAAATAGAACAGTAAATTTAGGGAGTGGAGTGAAATGACTAGGTTGAAGACGAAAGCAGTTTTCCCATTTTTCACTC